CAAATCACGTGTGAATTTTTCTAAGTAAATTATTTCACTAGCAGTGCTATAATGTTGTTATCCTTTAAATCATTTTAAAAATAAAAATAAAATGCATGTTTGACCACTATTTCTTCGATTGAGACGATTCCAGTTAGATTGATCACGTGACGCATAACCGTACATACAATCTAGATCAATACGTCATATTATTTACTACTTACCCACTAGTGACTTGTCGTAACGTCATTTGGCAAAATGTGATACATGTGTGATATTATTAGAGCAAGATTGTTGTTCACTGTCGCTCTGAATCAGTCAAACAAACCCTTCTGGGTTTTCCTGTAATTTATTGCATAATATTACTAATTTTCCGGACACAAGTTATCATCCCATCGTGAATATATCGGAATATTTCAATAATGCGACAATCATATTTCAATAATGCGACATGTTGTACATCATGACGTATATATGTAAATTAGTAACGTGCAAAGGAAATGGAATATTGTCGGAAGCTACACGTAGTTTATTTATTATGACATTATTTATTATTATTTATTATGGCATATGTGTACATGTATGTATGCGGAAGTCACATTGGCAATGATTTTATTGTATCGGCTCTGTTTGTCGGACGTCAGAACAACTCGACAATATTTGATAAAGTATTCCAAGCCGTCAGTGTCGTCTGCTATACGCCAAAAAGAAAGATGACTACTAGTATATTGCTTTTGTAAGCGTAAGAAAAATACCGAGTTGTAAAACGAGATAACAGATCTGGCGTATTTTCTTGGACGTATTCAAATATCGTGACTCGTATTCCAGGTTGAACAAATGTTACGCGCAGTTTCTTGAGGCACAATTTTCATATGTTATTTGTACAACTCGCATCTTTGTATTTTCACGTTGACTAAGTTATTCGAGCATCGGCTGGGATACCGCAAGCGCGCCACCAATGGTAACAAATAGTCGATGCTTCATTGGTGAATAGGTTTTCACGTGATTAAAGTAACGTATTCATTCGGTGTGAAGACATTTTGCACGACATGTTATTAATTCCATCTGACGAAAAGTGTGTCATAACAGCTTGTGGGGTGCGTTTACATACATATATTTGTCTAGTTCCTGCATACATCCCACAACTCATTTTTTTAATTTTAACGTTGATTAATTAATTTTTACGTAGTTGATCAACTTGTATTGTGTTTTTTAACTTTGTTTATTTCAGTTACAATTGACTCTTGCCGAGATGGTATTCAGAGAACAGTTGATACCGATGCCGCAGCAGGAGAGATAGTCGTTGACATTGCGCAATCCGACGAGAACACGGGAAGCTGTCACCTGACTCTCAATGTTAGCAAGGGAAAACGTATAGCTCTTTTCTTTGATAAGGCATTTTATTTTCCCGTGGTGCACACAAGCAGCGAACCAGAATGTACGCTTGGCGCGTTAGAAATACGGGACGGGTTGTCAGGAGACCTACTCACCCCTACCCCGATATGTGGAGTCGTCCAAGAGATGGATATTCGACCAATGTGGATGGAACCCTATTTCAGTAACTCTAACTCAATGACGTTCTCAATCTCTGCCCGTTCAGGCGATCTACGAGGAACTATTAATTTCAAGATGAAATTTATAGTTTTTGTTAACGTTTCTGGTAAGTGTCAACACACTGAACACAGATTTATTAATTGCAGATTTACGAGATTTTACATTTTCGGCTACTTACTTACATATTCGAGTTCCGGTTTTTGTCAATTTGCATATTTAAATTTTATCCTCTTGCAGACTAGTATGCAAACCTTATCATGTAAATTACGTATCTTCTCTAATTCATGTTTACCGTACTCGACCGCGTTAGCGCCCAGGGTTCTCAACTCAGAAAAAACGTGATTTTTTAGGGGTGGGCGCTTACCCGAGCACCCCCTCGAAAAGAGTGCAAATGACAATTTTAATTCACCATGTAACAGATTGAGGGTTATATTACGACGAGGGAAAATAAAATTACACAATTAGTTGCGTGGTCATTGACTTTTAGAATAAAAAAAAGCAGAAATGTTCACAAAAAATATGCACATTTTATTAAAATATTTATTACGTACCACCCGAATTTACGAGGTTAGTATGTAGTGTGTTTGATTTCTATAGCAGCAGTGCAATTTATATGCGCACGATCCGTTTATGATTGATTGGTCACATGACTAATCTGGAGAGAGCACGGCTATAATTCGTGATACGAATCAACTAATATCGTTAAACGGTTCCAAGTAATACGTGTATACATATACTGCTCTTCGGCACATAACGAAATTTAAGCGATAAACCATGATACTAACAGTATTTATATTTCATGAAATGTTTGCACTCTTAGTACAAATAATTGCTATATTATACTTGAAACGCAAAGGTCTCCACGTAGCACGTGTTCGAATTTCATGTATTACCAGTATATTTTACACACGTTGTATACGTCGTATGGGACTCGTATTCAATACGACGCGGCGTGACGCTCACCACCTTTTAAACTAACATACCGTTAGAAAAGCCCGAGGAACTGTAGAGCAATTAAAACATATAGCGGTCAAAACAAGTCAGCGTCACTGAAATCACGTTCTGAAACACTACTATCAACACTGTATCAACAATTTCATAATCATCGTTATTTCGCCTTGGCTATATATACTAGTATGACCTACTCGTGGTTTGGCAAAATAACCAATATATGCTTCTACAATGATCTGTTTGACTTTTTATTCAAAACTATTGCTTCCTCATTCAGATCTGATATGTTTAAAGCGGAAGGGTGATCACCTGCGCACGCGCAGGAATTGAGTCCCAAGCGACGATAACAAAGCATGTAGACTTGCTTGCAGTCTGTTGCGATTCCGATGAAAAATTCTTGAAAAATAAATATAAATTGCGTAAACGACGGGTGAAAGCGAAAGTCATGTGACCGTGAAATCCCAACAGACTTGCCATCAGTGTAAGCATGGAAGGTACTAACGGACCGTTAATACCTTTCATGGTGTAAGCGCCCTCACATTATCGGCCAGATTCGGGCTTGTAATGATTGACATGTCTAATATGTTTCAACCAATCAGAAGACAGGCTAATTAACATATCAACGGAGACCCCGGAAACCATACACACTTTCTTGTATAAACTTATATTCCGAAAACTTTACCTACTTTCTCATATCCGAATCGCATATGCCATTTTATTTTAGATTGAATCTCAAAAAAACGTGCAATGTTCTCAGGAGATTATTATGATCCGTGGCTCGGTTTGACTTGTGATCATGGCATATTATCACTCTTGAATACCAGCACCTGTCACAATTGTTATTTTGCAATCAGTACAAATTTTAGCAAAATCAACTTTTAATTCATAAATCTTAATATAATTTATAATACCGGTATATAGATATATATTTACATTCTGAACTGAAATTAAATACAGAGATTCAAATACTTACATAATGTATATGCATTCAATTGTGTCAATATTGGGTCATTATATACTAGTACTTGATTGGATCTCAATTGGCGCATTTTAATTTGTACCAAAGACACGTGTCTTTGTTTGTACATGCTATTATAATTGATTTGTTTTACAATGAAATAACACGTGTGCGTCGATAGATGCATTCAAACTTGTACTTTGAACAACAAATAGACAGATAATTGGGGAAAAACTATAAGAAGAAAATTAATCTGAGTCTGAGTCTGTACGATTTATAGTGATAAGACGGTGTATAACAGTTGTTACTTTTAAATAAATATGGGAATTTACAGCATGTTAGTTTGGTACTTACACTAGGATTACAAATTAGCTAAACGTATTTCAATTTTGGTTACGTTACAAACTTAAGGTATAATAGGTGACATTAGGCAAATTAGAATAACAATTGTTTCTAACATGGCTGGGCCGTTTTCACCAATCAAATCGCAGGATTCTCTGTTGATTTTCAAAATGCAAAAGTTTCATTTAAAACACGGGCTCTCATGATTGACATGAGAATGTGTTTTTGTGTAAATTAAGAAGGGTTTCTCAATGGCTGTTGATTTATAAACGCGCTATTCTATTGCGTCAAAAATGTACTGCGTATGTGAAAAAATGTGGAATATTGACGAATCAATATGAAATACCATGTTTTCTTTAGAATCGGTGTTTTAGTAGTAAATGGGTGAAAGATGTCGATATCAGTCTCAACAGAGATCAATAAAATATTAATATTTACTATTTTCCAAACGACGTACAACATCTAGCAAAATCGTTTACGTCACACACGAACATTGTCGATAGAGGGCGTGACTTAAGCTAGAGATGCAGTTTATTTTGCAAATTTTGACAATGAATAATGTGATATCATGTTTTCGTTTTTCTAGACGATAGTTGTTTTACATGCCCCGATCTTGTTGGATTCGATTTCCCATTGTGCATCGACAATAGACTGAAATGCGACAACGTCAACAATTGTCCTGATGGTAGCGATGAGGATTATAGATACACGAAAAGTAAGTATTGTTTACTTTACAAAAGTGAATAACCCACTCTCCCTTGCAGAGTCTTCTTAACCTAAGGAGCCACAGAGAGCCACAACTAGTGGGACGTTCCCTGGCGACTACCTAGCTTAGTGATAAAAGACCCATAGTCTCTTGATGGAGAATGGTGAATAACCTGCAATTTGATTGGATAGATGTTGGTTCTAGTCACATAGTTTCCGACACAGATTATAACTCGGGATGTGTTCCCGGTACTTGTTCCATGTGTTCTGTTACGTGTTACGTTATTTTTAACAACCAACAGTGCTTCGCGCCATCGGCGCTCGCGAACTTGGCCTTCGGACAACTTATCGGCCCCCCTATTCCAGAATCCTAGATCCGCCGTTGACAAGGTACCGTGAATAGTGATAAGACCCTCTAGTACACTCAAAATGAAGTGTGTGGAAATGTCAGGGAATGATATTTACTTATATTTACATTCATATTTTATAAAACATTATTTTCACGTTTTAGCTTTGTTTTGGGAGTGGTGTGGGTCAAGACTGTCACAGAAGAAGTGTTCAGTGTAGGCGTTTTCGTATAGCCTTGCATGTGTATTATAACACGAAATAAACTTGCTGTAAATCTTTGCAATTGCCGATAACTACGATTACCTGCTATTATTTTCTACATAATGAATATAAATTATGATAATATTCTGAAACACGCAATAGCACGTGCGTTTACATTACTAGTACGTACAATATATTTGTTTGTTTAACAACAACGACGCGTTCATTGTGTGCTGAATATTAAAGCGGGAGTGTCGTCACCTGCGCACGCGCGAGAATTGAGTTCCAAGCGTTAATAACAACACACGCTAAAAACACAAAGGTTCATGTGTAGACGCTTGTTTGTAAACAATGACACGCTATGGCGACCTGACGCATGCGTAGGTGACGACACCCCGGCTTTAAACTTATATGTAAATGCACATCGAATTTTAATATTTAGTAACAGCGTTTTTGTCCAATAGATAAGACGTGTGACCTGAAATGTCTGAACGGTCCTCTAGCTTACGTAGATGGAAACAAAGCGTGTGACGGCGAAAAAACATGTGCTGATGGCAGCGACGAATCAGTGGAAATGTGCGGGCTTCGTAAGTATCACGCGACATTTTAAAAGTTCATATGCAAATTAGATCATTAGTATGCATGTATCGAACATTTAGTCATTCAATTATACTGGATTCGTATTACAATCGTTTATATATTGAGAAAACACGTTAACTTGATTCATTGAATGTAGACAAATCTGGCAAGCCAAAGTGCTCATAAATTCGCATGCACGTCACAGTGAAGGTAAATTGTCTCTGTATGTATATATCGCCCCCACCGTCTATATACCATGGGATTGTAGCGTTGGCCTAACGGACACAGTTGTCTGTATTGCACTCTAAGTAATTGTTTGTTTGTTGTATGTGTCTCTCCACAGGCCAGAGCAAACCATTCAGCACATTGAGCATGACCGATATCGTCGTAAGCATCATATGTTTTATTTTCTTGGCGATTTTATTCTGTGTCTGCATATATTGCTACTGTTGCCCTCCTCCTCCAAGTCGTTACAAGAAAGCATACAAACGAGCTAAGAAGGAACGCAGATACCAAGAGCAGATGATGCAACAGCAAGCAATGGCCGGGATGGCGCCACACGGCCAGAACGCCCAACAGTTGTAACAGACCAACAGTTGATGATCTCGATATGGGTAGATGGTAGCAGTTGTTGTGTCGGAATGAAAGTGTCCCTCTACGCCAAGCTCGAAAATGGACACAGACAATTAAATGCCCGTTTTAGAGCATTGATGCAATTTGGGTAAATTGGTTTACAATGATTGCAATACAAATGTTGTCCGCGTGCAAATATGAATACGACTTAATATTCTGTTCACCAATAGTCCGGACGTCGATCCTGGTTGGATACAAACTCTATCGTAAATAAAATACGACTACAAATAAACATAAACACATAAAACAGGCCGAGAACCTGACAACGAATGTTGGGTGTCCTCTGCGACTAGATGTCGATTACATTGAAACAGCGTTAAGCTGAAAACGGTGATTTTATAAGGTAGACGATCATGCGGTGCAAGGGATTTAATACTTTCCATAAAAAACGTTGATATTCTGCTACTAATTAATCGCCGCCTTATTTCTATCAGGGGATATTCAAACATAGCGCCATCTAGCGCTGGATATCAACTACTAGCAAGATATATATCTAGTGTAGTGCAACTTGTTTGTAAATGTTAGAAGTTTGCTATCGTGTAATGTGCACGTGTCAACACGTCCAGTGTATATTCATTTGTAGCGTTCCAGTTTATAGTGAACACGCTGAGTTACTAACGAGATGCAAGTACTGTGTAGATGGATTTGAACACGTCGCAGCTTTAAAGGGTGGTGGTCATCGCGTCGCGCATATGCGACATTTGTGTTGATAAACATTGATTTCCCTACAATCCAATCACGAGTACGAGTTTTGACTTGGGCGCGATTTGCACTAAGTACCGTCGATGACTCATTCGATACCTTTCAATCACCAAATAAATTACTTAGTTAAAGCTTAGTAACGTCTCAGTCTGTACTCGTTGGTCTGCGCAACAGTAAAACTCGCCATCTTTGTTCATATGAGACCCATATCTTGCGCATGCGTGGCGCGTCGACCACCGCCCTTTAAGTTAGCTGTTGTAGTTTGCCGATTTGGGTTTTTTGTTACATCTCGCATTCTCCCATGTTGTTCTGCATGGATATAATGTTTGGGTGGCCATAGTGGTGCTATGTGCGTGTAAGTTAAACAACAATTATATATATA